TCCATGTATTTGCATAGTACATATTTGTATTTGTACTCCTTTCAAAGAATACAAATACAAATATGTACAGTGCAAATGCATACAAAACAATATAAAATACTAGGTTTTGTATGCTACATATTTGTATTTGTACTCCTTCCAATTTGAGCCTAGGGCTTAGCTTGGGAAGAGTACAAATACAAATATGTACAATGCAAATACATACAAAATAATATAAAATACTAGGTTTTGTACTTTACATATTTGTATTTGTACTCCTTCCAAACTGGGCCTAGGGGACAGTTGATATGAGCTCAAAATTTGTATTCTTTTCATTTGCACTCCCATGCATTTATACTAGTGTGAATAAATTGCAACCAAATGCAGCTTTAAGATTTTAAAAGCATTTTGAATTTTAATACCTTGTGTATATAGTTGATTATTTTGGTGTTTAATCGACCAATTTTTAAGAAATCAACAAATTGATCAAAAAATGACTATTAAAATCAGCATTAAATATAACTTTTTAGTTAAATTCTTATTATTTATCAAAAAATTATGGAACCGTTCTGGCCACCGATTTTTGGGTCAATAGTTCGATCGTCCGGTTTGAACGGACGATCCATTCTAAATACAAACCTTATAAGCAAAAAATTGAGTGTGTGAGGTCCATTAAGTAGTATCATACGTGTTATGTCATTCGAGCGTGTGACATACGACCCAAAAACGGAACCATTATGGCCACCGGTTTTCAGGTCGATGGTCCGACCGTCCGATTTGAATGGACGGCCCATTTTGACAACAAAAATAAAAAAAAAAACAGCCAAAAACCATTGAATGGGTTAACAGGTCAACAGTTCGACTACTCGTGTCAATGGGCCGTTGACTTATTCAACGATTTTGGCTAGGGACTAGGATTGGGGTAAAACGGAACCGGTTTCCTGGACAGATCCCATTAAAAAAATAAAAAACAGCATTTCGATCGTCCAGAACGAACGGGTGATCCGTTCTGACAACAAAAATTACTAGCAAAAAATTGAGTGTGTGAGATCCATTAAGTAGTATCATACATGTTATGTCATTCGAGCATGTGACTTATACAACCCAAAAACGAAACCATTCTGTCCACCGTTTTTGGATTGATGGCTCAACCGTCTAGTTCGAACAGACAGCCCGTTCTGACAACAAAAATTTTAAATATAAAAAAATGGCCAAAAACCATTGAACGAGTCAACGGGTCAACCGCGCAGGTCAATGGGTCATTGGTCGATTCAACATTTTTTTGCCAGGGACTAGGATTTGGATAAAATGAAACAAGTTGCCTGGATGGTTCCCAATAAAAAAAAGGCCAAAAACCATTGAACAAGTCAATGGATCAACCACCTGGGTCAATGGGTCATTGACCAATTCAACGGTTTTGGGCCAGGGATAGGGATTAGGGTAAAACGGAACCGGTTGCCTAGATAGTACCTAGGCCGAAATGTTTGTCCGTCCGGGTCAACAACTATTCGAAAACCATGGTTTTTTATGCTTTTGGATTTTCACCATTCAAATGTTTCTTCTACTGTGGGCTTTATTTGAGCATGTGCATATATTTCTTTTTTTTTATTTTTTGCTTTTGTTTTTTTTTTGTGTTTGGTCTTCTTCAAGATCCTCCAAAACGGTTTAGGGTTTACCACCATTTTATTTCTTCCCTTTTTGTTTTTTCTTTGGGTTTTCTTGTGCAATGTTTTTTTTTTCTTACAAAACGATCTGTTTTGTCTCTTTCTTTGATTGCATGTATGTTTAGCTCCATTTCAAAGCGGAACTTTGGACTCAAATTTTTCATTTTTTTTCTTGGTTTTTCTAGTTTGGTGAATTTACCACCAATTTTTTGTTCTGTGTTTAATGTCACTTTGAATTTATCTTTCAAGGTTTTGGAATCCCTTGCAATGTCCATCATTCCCATGACTATGATTACAAAGTTATTTCGTCTAATTATTGACATCTAGAAAAAACGACCCGGAAACGGAACCATTCTGGCCATCGATTTCCAAGTTGATGGTTTGACCATTTGGTTCGAATGGATTACCCGTTTTGACAACATAAATTAAAAAATTAAAAAATAATTAAAAGTAAAAATGACCAAAACCATTGAACGGGTCGACGATTTGACCACTCGGGTCAACAGGTCATTGACTGATTCAACAATTTTTTGCCAAGGACCGAGTTTGGGGTAAAATAGAACTGGTTGCCTGGACGGTTCTCAGGCCGAACAGTCCTACCATCCAGGTCAATTGGGAGTTCTCGATATAAAACAAAAGACAATTATGAAGTAGAATTCAGAACTATCACTATATGATCGTGTTCTTTTATATGAGATGCTTTGCTGAAACAATATTTAAAAAATGAGCACATGATGATCTCTTTTAAGTCTTTATATGAGTTTCAAGACTTGAATACTTATAATTGCAAGTTTCTTATTAAGAAACCAGTGTTAATGTAGCAAATAGTAATGTTACAATTCCAATCCAGCCCTTACTTGGTAGAGTTCCTCCGAAACAAAAGATAATTATGAAGTAAAACTCAAAACTATCACTATAAGATCACGTTCTTTTATATGAGATGCTTTGTTAAAACAATATTTAAAAAACGAACATATAATGATCCCTTTTAGATCTTTATATGAGTTTCAAGACTTGAATATTTATAATTATAAATTTCTTATTAAAAAATCATTATCTTAATATAAAAAATAATAATATTATAATTTCAATCCAGTCCCTACTAAACATAGCCCGTCCACCAGAATTATACCAATTTAAGAATCAGATGAATCTAATAATAACCAACATAGAAAAATGTCTCTGGACAAAATTAGTTGCATAAGACATTTGCTTAGTCTTGGAATTTAGGGGGCCTATAGACAAAAGATGGGCAAATTTCAGATGGCAATGAGAATCCATTGTAGACAGTTCTGATTCCCCCTCTTAACCAAATAGATGGGGAATAGATCATTCTAATTCTGATTCTGAATGATTTTAATTCCGATTCCATTCCGATTGCAAATCAAACGGACCTTAGTATTCAGTTCCCTGCTACCTTTTGGTGAACCATCCGTTACCCAAATTCAAACGTACTACATAAAAATGTGTATTTTGATTTTCCCATGAGACTAGCTATATTCCAAATATCTGGTATATGTGTGTGGTCTGTCTCGCTACATCTCTCTATTTTTTTTCTTCTTCACTTATTTGCTTTGCTTTCAATTTCATTCTTCTCGTTTAAGTATTAGGTCCCAAATCCATGGTTGCCTTTATTTTTTACTTCGCTTTCGACTTTTTCTATCGTCTGATTTGTCTATTTTTATTCTCTCAAAATTGATTTAGAATGTACATGGGATACCGTTGGGCTCTCTCCAGGTATGGTGGAGAATCAGCATGCAAAATGAGCTAGAGCTTAGAAAACTGGTAACGAGAGTACGAGACGAGTTAGAGAACACAGCGTCTGTAGCACTTATACTGTTGACTCCGATCAGCACTTATACTGAAAAACACCTACACTAGTCTCGAATTCCCAAGTTCCTAATATTTAATCATATTTTAGTAGAGGATTAAGTTGAATGGGTAAAAACGAGTCATTAGATGATTTGTTAAAACACTATCAATTTGTATCACATTTCAGATGCCGAGGTAAGATAGTGCTCACTACAGTTTAAGGAAGTTGAGCATAAGACTCTTAATCAGTTAAGAATAGTGTATGCGCATGCTAATAACTGACCTAAGCCAGTGATAAAGCGTGGCCACTTCTAAGAGAAATATAGGATTAACTCTCTAAAACACTCATGATTCCAAGAGGGAAATAAGGCCGAGATGTTCCAAAACAAAAGAGCCACTAAAGAACTAGTGAGTTGAGTTGGTTGGCTGGTTAACTAGTTACAACAAAGAGGAAAAGTTGAAGGACTCTGACTCCACCCACACTATATAACCTGTCATACCTAAGTGTTTATTGAACTCCAAAAGACATCACCATGAATACTTTTCTCAGATGCTCAGATTGTCCGATATTCTTGTAATTTTGAATCTTGTGGGGGGTTGTTGGAGGAAGATTCAAATTTTCAAGAATCTCTCTCCTCCCTCTCTCGTGTTTGACTTTTTCTCTTCTTAGTCTTGAGTGCATGGGAAGACTCCTTGTCTCACATTGCTTAGGCAGGGAGTGGAAGTAGAGTATATTTGTAGTTTTGCTCTTTATGGGTAAAGACCTTGGGGAGGAGAGTACTATAGATATTCTATGCATGTGAGGGGGGGTTGGGGGTGCTTTTCACACGCGTACGCCGCGCCAAACCGGGCCAAGGCATGGGTGTAGGCGCGCACGTGTCTTATATCGAATCGTTTTTTGCTTTTAACCAAATTTGATGAATTAAACGGTTTTGTGTCCATTCGAACAAGTGTCTGTTCGAATTTCAAATTTAATGTTTTAAAGCATTTTCTCTTTCCTTGTTTGTGTCTCTTCCTTTCTATGCCTTTTCGAACAGGTGCACTGTTTTGAAGAGGTTCTTGTTTGAAAGGACACATTTGTTTCCATTTAGATTTGAGAACACTCTATAAAAGGAGTGTTGGACGACTCAATTTTCAATCAATCACATTTTTTACTCCCTGTCTTCTCTGCATATCTGAGCATCAGTCTCCTGTGGTTCGCAGAGGTCTGTTAAGCGAGTACATGCCTACTAATGGCCTGTGGGCTGTTTTATCTTAGCAACCGATATAGTATCACCCGGCTGCACCGTAGGGGACAAATACGGTTTTAAGGAAAATGACCAAGTGGCACAACTCAGCCCTCCTCCATGCAATTCCCAGTTTTGAGATTATGCAACATTACATCATTGCAACTTCGGATTGCAAAGCGATTACTGATAAGTTATTTTACAACAATCAGTGAAACAGAGAAGCCAAAAGCTTCAGTTTCAAGCCTAATTGATGATAGTTCAGCCCGTCGCCGGGCACGTGCATTGCTGGAAAAGGAATAGGAGCTGCATTTTGCCCTCATCTTCTCAAGGCCTTAAGCCAAATTTGCATCTCCTTTTCTCATTACATCAACACAGATGAAGGCAACAATCTTCAGTCTCTAGACTCTAGTGGAATATGGAACCACCAAATATACAACAGTCAGAGTCTCTGCTCTCTGGTGTCTATAACAAACAACATAAGATAGGGGACTCTGCTCTCTGGTGTCTATAACCACCAAATATACAACAGTCACAGTCTCTGCTCTCTAGTCTCTATAACAACCTAATTAAAATGTGAAAATCCTCCACTTATATTCCTGCTATCATCATCTTCTGAGTCTCTATCTAATCCGCCAAAGTAAAATACAGAAAATATGCCACATGGGTTTGCCTAGCCCAGTACTCTGAACTGGGCAAGTATGACAGTCCCTTCTACTAATCCTTCTTGGCCTCTGAAACCTCTGCTGCCACAATACTCATAATATATTCTATCTCCTCTGTAACTTCTTTCATTGAAGGCCGATTCTGTCGTCGTTCCTCCAAGCACCCTACTGCTAGAAACCCCAATGCCTTTATGGTGTCCAATTCGAGGTCGCTGGCTCCTTCCTTTAGCATTGGATCGATGGTATCCATCAGCTTCTCTTCATCCACCATCTGCTTCACATAAATTGCCAAGTTCACATTATCGCTCCCTCTATCGAAGTCAATGGCCTTCTGTGCTGTCAATAACTCCAACAAAACAACCCCAAAGCTGTAAACATCGCTCTTGTCCGTTAACTGGTAGTTCCGGTAGTATTCGGGGTCAAGATAGCCAAGAGTCCCTTGGGCACAGGTGGAGATGTGGCTGAGGTCAGTCTCTGCAAGCCTGGAGAGTCCAAAATCCGAGACCTTGGCGTTAAGCTTTTCATCTAGTAAGATGTTGCTGGACTTAACGTCTCGGTGGTAGATGGGCGGCACGGCGGAAGAATGGAGGTAGGCAAGACCCTCAGCTGTCTGGTGAGCAATGCTGAGCCGCCGGCGCCAGGTGAGATTTGACCACCCGCCGGGATGAAGACCATGTAGATGCTCGTAAAGGGTCCCGTTGGGGATGTATTCGTAGACCATGAGGGGCTGTTCTAGCTCAACACAGCATCCAAGCAGTCGAACCAGGCTACGATGGTTCACCTGACAGAGGATTCTGACCTCGTTGAGGACCTGATCTGTACCCTTGGTGTTCCCGAGCTTGGCGCACTTGACGGCAATGATGGTGCCATCCTCGAGGACGCCCTTGTAGACCTCTCCGTAGCCACCGGCGCCAAGCAACCGGTCCTTAGAGAAGTTATTAGTTGCCTTCTTCATTTCTTTGCCGGTGAAGTTCTTGGCAGATTTGCCACCACTGTTGGCGTTTAGTATCTCCTCTCGCTCCTTGGCCAAGCGTTCTTGAGCCTCTTTGATGCGCCGGTGTCGCTTGTACACGAGAGCGCCAACGACAGCCACGAGAAGCGCCGCACCCAGGGCCGACGTCAAACCTGTTCAAGTGCATTCCGTGTCAGATATCGTCATACAAGCAAAATTTACGACCGCCATCTCCGGTTCATCTCCCATCTCCATGCTTCTTGTTCAGTTGGGATGATGTAAACAGACAAGGAATTACCTGCTATCAGTGGGGTCCGATCAATACCATCACAACCTCCGGAATCTTGACACGTCACATCTGCAAAAAGATGTTTACTGCGTTAGATATTTAGAACTCCATGAGGAAGATGAAGAGGAAAAGGATGGAATCAAGGAATGGGAATTCTCACTGTTAGCACAGAATCCGTTGATGGGGTCCCACTGGAGCCCGGCCGTGCAGAAGCACCGGCTGAACCGGGGATCGGCTAGGTCCGACGAACACGTGGAATTCGAGCCCTCGTCACAATCTGCCTGCGACTGGCAAATGGGTTCCTTGGGTAACGCCCACTGCATTTCCAACCCCGGCTGGGGCCAACTACTCACGGGCAAGGAAGCATCTAAATTGACAAAGCTCCGGTAGGCCCTGCAACCTCCATCCCGAACCTTGATCATGTAAGAGTTGGTGGACCCACCGGTCTTGAAAGTGCAGCAGATCGGAGCGTTCTCACAGGGCGCCGCCTCTGCAGTATTGTTCATGTAGGTGTGGCAGAGGCTCGCGGAAGAACAATTCAACGGCGACCGCAACAAAGTGTCGGAGCAGTTGAGGTACATAATGGTGTTGCTGCTGGTGACGTTGAAAGGAAGGCTGCTGTTGAGCTGAAGGCCTTCGCTTGCGATATCGGTAGTCACGCAAGTATTACCAGCGAAGCTGGCCGGGCTGATCACTAACCGTTGGTTCCCCGGGGAGATGGATGTGATGGTGTAGGAAGATCCGTTGAGGGCGTCGAATCGAAGCGTGCTAGATGCACACCGGATCTTGTACGATTGATCGCCGCAGTCGGTTCCGGTGCTGAGTGGGTACGGCACGGGGGTGGCGCCACAGTCTGGGCAGCGCTTCGCGGCCATGGAAAAGGGGAACCCGGCGCATAATAGCATAGCCACTGCGAAGAGCAGAAGAGACGTGTTTTTGTCCATCGGACTATCGGAGGAGAGAAATGAGGTTGAAGAAGAGGAGATCTGAAGGGTCGGTCAGACGGAGAGGAAGAGGGAGGCTGAAAGAGTACTTCTCCGTAGATATTTTGAGATGTTCGAGTTGGACTGGTGACTCGTGACAGGTGAGGTGAGGGAGGTTTCATTGGTACTTTGAAAAGTTGCGGTTGGCCTGGGTTGGGTGAGTGGTTTCTGAGTGTTTTGGTCAACTTTCTCTCTTACATAGGAACTATGAAGAGGGATTCTTTGTTTTGGTAAGTTCCTGAAACAGAGGGATTTATGTAGCGGTCCCCACAAACGACACGAACAGATGCTCTTTATTCTTAAACCACTGGATTGGTGGTGTCAACTGAAGCCCAGGACAATACGAGTGCAGGATGTAGTGATGTACTGTTCATAGATTCCGATCAGACGGAGAAAAAAGTGGTCTCCTCGTTGTAAAGGGTGGCTCAAAGAAGGAAAATGCGTAAACATTTGGTTGACTTTTTGACGTCTGTCCTTTTCACCCTTTATTTTGCTTTGTCGAACCTGGCTTTACCTACCTAATCTACCTTATTACGCGGACAGCAAGTTTCACTGGTTTTTCCGTGGAATCTCGATTCATGAAAGAAATGGAATCACGATCAACCACCCACTTTTTTAATTTTGCTGCCAGATCAGCCACCCAACTGAGCATTGGCAAATTTGCAATTGTATCATACCGGACATTTCATCAATCTACGATCCAATTGTTATTTGGTTGGAAATGCATATAAGAAAGATACGAAACATTTTAGATATGTTAGGAAATGCATACAAAATCATATAAATATATTAATAATATTAAATTTAAAACTGAATTACCCATTAACAAGTTATAAATACGTAATAAATGTATACTTTAATATTTTATATACGGAAAAATATTGTACATGTACAATCATTATAGGGGTCGATTCAGATTGAGTTCAATTAAACTTGTATGTTTACTCAGCTGTAAGTCAAGTTTTCTATAAAAATAAAAAACTATACATATAAAATTTAGTTATATATAATTTCTATTAGGCTCTCGAATCTTACAAGCCAAGTGTTATTGGGCTTTAGCTTTAGCTTCGCTCGATTAGCAAATGACCTATATATTGGGCTCGAAGCTTAGTTTAAATTGAGTCCAAGCGAGATTTTCACATGTCAAGTTTGAATAGTTTGTAAAAAGCTCAATTCGTATTTACCCCTATACATCATGCAATAATTTTTATAATTATAGTTTTTAATTTATATTAATTTTATTGGAAAAAAAATTATTATTTAGTATTTTTGTATAAATGATAACTCTACCTTTTTAAATAATAAATATATTTTCATTTTTAACATATAATATATATATAATAAAACATATAAATCATTTAAGATAAGATAAAAATTAAATCTTAAATTATTTATTTCAGATTTTATAATTATAACTTTTAAGTTTTTATTAAAGTTCAAAGACTATCCAAAATTAGTGAATATATAATTTGTTAAATTAGACACATACATTTTTTGTATGGATGCACACCATATCTATCTATAAATACAGCGTGATACAACCCAAACATACGGCTCATGTAGTATGTAACTAATTGTCTAATATTACCACATCTTTTTTTAAGGCTAAAATCATATTTCATTCATTCAAGAAATTGATACAAGTATATAGAATTGCCAAAAGGCCAATCAGAACCCAAATACAATTTCTCAAGAAGAACAAAATATATAAATGGATGTAGGAGAACAAATGAACTTTTGCAATCCAAAAAAGTGAAAAAATCACCAACATAAGTAGAAAATCACAACTCTAATCCACCACAAATGGCGAGAGAAAAGATATGAGAGTTTTCCAAAAGAGATTGCAAAGAGTCGGTAATAGCATGGTTGGAGTAGATCCACAGAATAGGATAGAGCCCCAAAAATTACAACAGATACCAGATACTGTAACTGCTTTCCAAAACGGCATTCGTTGGAGAATTGCGAATGGAACTGACCATGAATTGCTTCTGCCAGAGAACCACGAAAGACTTAACCATGGACGGCAAAAACATAAAGCAACACCCACCGGTATCGAAAGCCTAATACAGGATCCAAGAGCAAGTAATCCCTTTGTCAAAACACCTACAAAAAGAAGAAGAAGAAAAAAAACGAGAAGAGAAATGAGAGAATAAAGGAAAAAGGGGGACTCCTCATAGAGAATATTACCACATCTTGCATCAATAGCCATGATGAATACTGATATGATCCACTACGCCTCACACTGACCTTGCAGCATGTTTTAGCCGTGAAATATCTCTTCATGAATAAAAATTTACAAACGCGAAGATGTTCTAAAACCACGGCCAAAATGTGTTGTGAGGTCAGTGTGAGCCGGCTCTGTGAAGAATAGATCAGAACTCAAAAATGATACCCATCGTGGTGCGTATTGAAAGTTTTTTCGTTAGGTGGATATCAGAATTCTATTGGATTTGACGTGCAATGTTTTCAAAATCAGACCAGACCAAACGGTTAGACCGAAAAAATTAGGAACCAGTCACTGTTTTATCCCAGAACTGCCTTTTGATAAAAAACTATTGATTTGGTCAGTAAACCGTTGACCTAGGCAGTCAAACCGTCCAATAGGTTTTGACTGCTTTTTATTTTTTTTAATTTCTTTTATTTTTTATCAGAATGAACCATCCATTCGTTCAAACAATTGGATCATTCGACTTGGGAACTGGATCCATGAACAGTTCTTTGTCCGATTCAATTTTAAAAACCTTGTTGACGAGGGTGATGTGAAATTGGCAGTGTGACACAAACCGATTTATTCGCAAGAAAAACTGATTAATTAAATCATTCACACCAACGTTTTGAAACCGCTGTTAATCTGGGCAATCAAATCATTGAACCCAGAACCGATTCCATTTTACTGCGGAAGGCTTGTTTCTACTTTAGCTTTTAAAAAAATGTGATTGATCCACTGTGTCTGTGTGTGTGAAGCTTCCTTGCTGTTTCAACCGTCAAACCACTCAGCTTTTCTTTTACTCTTTGGATAAGAATTATTCAAAGTAGGAAGTGTTTTGAATGTTGTGCATGTTGCTTATGTTTCTGAGGTATAATAAATAAATCTCATGGCTTATAGGTAATGTTTCCTTTCCTCTTATTTTAAGGGATCAAAAATTCAAAATTGGCCGATTTTCTACCCTTCTAGAATGTGGAACCGGATGGAGGAAGGTGTGTTGGACCTGTTGGTCGTCTACATCTTGTTCTATATCAACCTTTTTCCTGTTGATTCTTTCTTTGTCTATATTATTGTTGTGGCTGCTGTTCGAAGGGCTGATAAAGTTTGGCGTTTGTTGATCAGTTTGACTTGCATTACCAAACAGCTACTATTAATCTACATGCATACTCCGCACATGCGAAGATGCCCAACCCGGATCCTTCACGGGGTCGTCGGCCTCCGAGGCAGGGAACATCATCGGTTCTGTCACCTTGCTTTAAATCCTTGACCTACAAATGAATGTGCAAGCTTTTCGCAGATGGGCAGTTCTACTGCTATAAACAAATTTAAATAAAGTTTTATCCATCGGATCCAGATCGACTTTGATTATATTTGGATATTAAATAACATCACATAACTAAATTAAACATGTTTATTTACAAATAAACATAAAGCTCCGTTTAGGAACGATGCAAACAAAGTGTGAATATAAATATGTAGTGTAAAACGGTTCATGTAGGCTTTCAAATATAATATGTAAAGCATAAAACCTTTTATTTTATATTATTTTGTATGTATTTGTACTGTGTATATTTGAATTTGTATTTCATTTAAATTGAGCCGTAAATGTAAAGTTGGGTTAGTTTTCTATTGACAAACTTACCTTATCAAACAGGCTTTTAGCTGTAATGGATGCAAACATGAATCCCAATAAAATATATGCCTTTTTTAACAAAAGCCCATGCAAATTTACTACATTTACATCTCATTTTGAATGTAAATATACATTGGAAAATGTGTTTTCTGTCATTTGTCAATACATAATTGTATTCTTGCCAAGCATCGCCAAAACTCAACCACAATACATATTTACCCTGAACCAGGCTTTGCATTCCATTTGCAACATTTCCAAACAGAGCCTGAAAAAAATGTAGCAAATAGTAGTGATGAAGGGTGATTTGGCGCAACTTAGCAAGAAGGGGACACATGGACACGACCTAACTAAGGGATGATAGCTCAGCTTAGCAAGCTTGGTTCCCAACGTTTGAGCTCGAGTGCTCGGTCACCCCAGCATAGAGACACCTCGGCATTCAATCCACTTCGGAGCTCAAGAACCAAAGTATCAGCTCAGGACTAACAACCAGAACCACCACATAATGACTCCGGATGTTTCTCCAGTAGATTCCGAACCTCACGGGATCACGTCGCGTAACGACTGGCCTTATCTTCTCCCCGCCCGGATCGGGCAGAAACGACAGACTTTATTGACTGATATGTTACTCCCCGACTAAAGCGGAAACGGATCTCATCCCCTCAGGTCGAAGATTCTGGAACCGTTTTGTGAAACCCGCAAGAGCTCAGCTATATAAGAGCAACAACCCCTCCAGGGCCCAGGTATGCGTGATTACTCTACTCTCTAGCTCTCAAGCTCTCAAATTCTCAAAGCATTTATCTCGTAGATACTAACTTAAGCACCGGAGCGACCTCGTTGGATTAGCCACCTCGGGTTCTTTGATCCATCATCTTGCAGATTGATCCAACTCGTTGCTCGATTGGAAACCAGATCACCCTCTAAGTGAGAATAGTCAGATCGTGCAACATCGTGCAACACCAAGTGAGAATAGTCATATAATCCATTGAGATTAAAGTTCAATTATTACTATTGGTTATATTTTTTTTTTTGTTCTTAGGGTGTAATTGAATTGAGCATTAGGACGTGAAACTCTGTCAGTGTAAATTCCGTCATATTCTTGTTTCAAATTTTAGCTTATTTTTACATTACAAATGAAGTAAATTAAGATATTAGACATGGAGCAGAATAAAGTACAACCGAAAATAAAATTAAACAAAAATTTGCATTTTTTTCATTTGCACTCCAACCAAACCAGAAAATATAATTAGGGTAGATTTTTTATTCAATTCTACTTGATTTATTATTTCGATCAAACCAGAAAATAGAATTCGAAACTTCGAATCAACATTATTTAGTTAAATCAAGCCAAACCAAGGCTCAATTAGACTAAAATAGTATTATGTTAAAGTTAGAGTTGAATTCTCGATCAAACTCAAACATAAAATATTTTAGTCAACTCTGAATTTTGTGTAAAGTCACTAGGAATGATTACAGGCATAAGAATTGATAACGGATATTCGAAGACATTAAGGTAGATAGAGATGCTGGGATCTTAACCAAAAGGTTCGGTCTACTAGTATTTTTTTTTTTTTTTTGGTTTTTTGTTTTTGTGCATTTCCTTGGGTCCTGGGCTGCGCTTAATGTATGAATATGAATCAAGTGGTTCAAGTTGGGCTTAATTTAAAAATCAGCTTGGTTAGGGCAGCTGTGCTTTAATGTATTTTATTCTTCCCCTTCTTGATCATGATTAAAATTAATGTTTTAAAAATAGATTTGTAATCGGAACCATTTTGGCCATCGGTTTTTGGATTAGTGGTTAAATTATTTAATTTAAATTATTTTAAATTAAAAATAAATAAATAAAAAGGCCAAATTTTGTTATTGGGGTCAAACGATTCAATGGTTCGATCACTTGGATCAATGGATTATTGATTAAGTCAATAATTTTTTTTCAAATAAATGGTTAAAGATGAAATAGAACCAATTGTTTGAACAGTTGATGGGCCAAATGATCTAACGGTCCGGATCAACAACAATTCAAAAACACTGGTTAAAATCAGTTTTTGCTGAGAGGAAAAGGATATTGGCTAAAACGTGCCTTGCAGAAATATAAGGATCCTTTCCTGTGCACCTCATGCCTCTAAATTGGATCCTTTTCTTTTTCATGATTTCAAGTTGTTAAATTGTTATTTGCCATTTTTTGTATGCTACAGTATTTGGTAACCACATGTTTTAAGGCCTGTTTGTTTTTTGGTAAATTAATTATTTGGGTAAGTGTTTTCTAGGAAAATGTATTTATCTATATTCTTTTATTTGTCAGATAAATAAGATAATAGCAATTTTATCCATAAAAATCCATTATTAAAAGAGGCATTTTTGTCTCATCCAAATATTGGGAACTTTCCCTCAGGTGGGAAAGTTATTTACCCAGGAAAAAAAAATTTCTCTATTCCCCACATAAATCTTAAAAAAAAAAAACATAAATTTTTTGTTCAATAAAAACCAAAATCCCTTTAACCAACTTTTCCCACTCTCAAAATTCAAAAAATAAATGCCCCTTAAAAGTAATGTTGAAATATAATAATTGTATTCCTATTTAAATAATCATCCTAATTTAAAACTAATTAAATCTATACCATATAAACTAAATACTTGCCGTAGATTCCGTGCATGTCATAAAAATTATATATAAATACCATATAACATATGTGATTAATATACTTACTTGCATACATGCCTAATTGCCTAGCACATTCGCTTATACTAATATGGCTTTCACTAATTGCATAGAAAATTACATATAGGTGGTACCTTGTACTTTAAGGGCAGTGGCACTTAAAAGCCTCAACTTTCACCTGCAACAACTAATTGACTAAGTACCATCAACACTTATAGTCCAACACCATTAACCAATATTACAATGAGTGATAAAACTACCAAACTGCACATTTATAAATTGTCATGCCCTACATGACTAATGAAGCTAGACTTTTTTAATATATATATATATATATATATATATATATATATATATATATATATAATTAAGGCTAAGCACTAACAAAAAGAAATAAGATGTTAGGGCCGCCCACTCTCCTCTTATTTATTTATTATCGGCATGATTGGAGTAATAAATAAGAAATGCAAGCACAACGCATTAACCCAAACACAGGTGCTGTAGGACAAGCTTTCGTTCTTCAAGACACCGGCAGAAGTTGTTGGGCCGTAGAAAGTTATGATGCGGAGCTTCGTGCCTTAACTAGTGGTCTAGAAGCAGCCTCAACAGCGAATGTAGTTGATATAACAATATACTCTGATTGCCAAAAACTGGTTAATCTCTTCACAATTCACACCAGACCAAGTTCACGGGTAGAACAGATGCACTGGGCTCACATCCGCAAGCCGCTGCTTAGTTTCCAATCCTTCTCGCTTATTCATGTGGATAGACAGTTAAATCCAATGGCCCATCTTTTTGCTTATTTTGCTTGTAAGGGTAAAGTCACTCTAGCAAAATCCACATCTAAATATTTTGAGACCTGATTTAATTCATGGGCAGACCCAATGAACAAAACCCACATCTAATCACTTTGAGACCTCAGCTAATTCATGGGCAGTTCATTCAAAGACCTACGAACATGGTTAAACTTCACAAAGGAAAACCATTGGGAAATGGATTTCATACCATCAGTCCAAGCAGAGGCATCCCAGGATAGAGAAGGGGAAGCCGTATTCAAAAACTCTATGACAAGTTTAGTATCAGACACTAATCCGCTTCCAGTGCCTTTTTTTAGCCAAAACCAAAGCAGATCGAATAGATTACAATTTGCAAAGAGCTCTGCCATGGCCAGATTTATTTTGTAAATAGATTTTTGCAAGTTCAGTAGTTGATTGTGGCACTTAAAAAAAAGTTAAGGCCGATTAGTGTACGTTACTACCCCCAAAGTGGTAACCTATACGAAATTTAATAAATACTATCTAATTTATTTAATGTTTTAGATAGACAGGTTTACTCTTTTCATGATGCTACATAATCCAATACTCTGATTATGAAAAGGGAAAAGTTGGAATCACGGAATGCTCAAATATTAGCACAGAATCCGTTGATGGGGTCCCACTGGAGCCCGGCCCTGCAGAAGCACCTGCTGAGCCGGGGATCAGCAGGGTCCGACGAACATGTGGAATTCGATCCCTCGTCACAATCTGCCTGCGACCGGCAAATGGGTTCTTTCGGTAACGCCCACTCCATCTCCAACCCCGGTTGCGGCCACCTACTCACGGGCAAGGAAGGATCTAAATTCACAAAGCTCCGGTAGGCCCTGCACCCTGCATCCCGAACCCTGATCATATAAGAGGTGGTGGATCCACCGGTCCTGAAACTACAGCAGATTGGAGCGTTCTCACATGGCGCTGCCTCAGCAGTATTGTTTATGTAGGTGTGGCAGAGGCTAGTGGAAGAACAATCCAACGGTGATCGCAACAAAATATCGGTGCAGTTGAGGTACATAATGGTGTTGCTGCTGGTGATGTTGAAAGGAAGGCTGCTATTGAGGTGCAGGCCTTCGCTTACGATATCGGTAGTCACGCAAGTATTGCCGGCGAAGCTAGCCGGGCTGATCACTAACCGTTGGTTCTCCGGGGAGATGGATGTGATGGTGTAGGAAGATCCGTTGAGGGCGTCGAATAGAAGCGTGCCGGATACACACCGGATCTTGTACGATTGATCGCCGCAGTCGGTTTCGGTGCTGAGTGGGTACGGCACGGGGGTGGTGCCACAGTCTGGGCAACGCTTTGTGGCCATGGAAAAGGGGAACTCCGCGCATAATAGCATAGCCGCTGCGAAGAGCAGAAGAGACGTGTTTTTGTCCATCGGAGACTGAGAGAAGATCTGCGGGGAACAGGCGGAGAGACGGAGAGAGCGAGAGGCTGAAAGAGTAGGGATTTGAGGTGTTGGAGTTGGACTGGTGATGGGTGAGTAGGTGAGGAAGGTTTGAGGTTTCATGCTTTCATTGACGCTCCTTTGAAACAATGCGCTTGGCGCTTGGGTTGGCACTTTGTTACGGTTCAGCACATGCTTAGCCTTGCCTACGCTTGGCAGGCTTACGTTAGGGACATGCCCGTCATTTTCGCCTGTAAGATTTTTGGGAGAACTGATGTCATCTTCAGGCAGACCACCAGAAGCTTA